TTGAAATAAGAGTTAATGACGCAGCAATCTAGTTGTGATGGTTGATACTTCAATGTCCGACATCGACTGACTCGCTCAACACCACTGAGCCCAACTGGCCAATGCTACTACTACTTATTATCTGTGGGAGTATCTATTACAATAGAATAGGTATTATGGTATAACAGTAACTGAGGACAAAGCGAAGAAAGCTTGGTATGATAAAAAAGGGGGCTGAAGCAGTGAGAGGACGAGAGATTTTTATGTTGGTGACGTGTGCGGGAAATCAAGAACGTCAGATTGAAAAAAAAGCATTTAGTGTTGCATGAGCAACGCCAGAGGAACACAAGCTGATTTTCTCTAATTAAGCTCTTGAAAAATATATTTCAATTGAGTACTTTTGAGAGATAGGCTGATTCTATAAACAACAGCCACTTGCACTAATGCAAAGCTCTTCAGTAAAATGAATTGAAGCCCTCTGATTGATTGGCATTTGTTTACATTCGTAAAAACAACACACTAGAATTAGCTGTTTCTCTCTGCAGAATGATGATAGCTCAGTGGTAGAGACTATGACTAACACCATGTCGGTCGGGTTTCGCTCCTGGTTTGAAGCATTCGGATACAGCAAAATAGTACTGTCTGCGAATGACACACACACACATCTCTCTCTCTCTATATATATATATATAGAGAGATTTCTACATTGTCAGAAATTTTGTCCAACATATATTTCTGAGAAGACGGAGAACGATAAAGGAAAAACAGAGCTAACCAAAATCGAAAACACATGAAAGAATCGTCAGGGATTTCAAGAGACACCTCCTTTGCCATTGGAAGTTTTTTTCTGAATATAAATGCCAAGATCAGTATATATACGCTAGAATCTTTTCGATAAAGAGGAAGATAGCCTGGAATAGAGAATTCGTGATAGCAATACAAGAATTTAAATTAGTTTCGCAAAGTGCCAAGATATTTGGTTTCAAGAGAAAAGATTCTACGCTACAGAAATTGGAACGTATTTCACGAATATTGGAGAAAGAAAGGTTGACGAGGGTAGGTAATTTTTTACTGGCAAATGACAAATGCATGAAAAATAAATAAGAGTAATCTTATTTATTTTTCATGCATTTGTCATGAGAATATTTTGATAAGACAAGGGCCAAAATAATTATCGCTATCATCTGTGGAAATACAAAGTGACCAGTAGGTGGTTAAGTATAATAAAGTTCTTAGTGATAGTGGGCACAGATCTGAAATTAAATTTGTAGAAGATTATGGTTGTTCCTAAAAGAAAAACAGAAACAGGAAGAGATTATGGTATACTTCTCCATTCAATCAATTAGTTCATACTAAGTTTCTAAACTTAACTGATAAACATTTTTCTAAGAGTAATTCATTAAGTACAATTTTCAATCGGAATACTCTAAAACTTAACTATAATTGTACTAATAATATAGAAAAAATAATTAAATCACACAACAATAAAACATTGAAATTATATAACAATAATGACTGTATTGTAATTGAAAATATATATAACAATAATAACTGCAATAATAGTACTAATTCTAATTTGTCTCGTATAACATGTAATTGTAGGAATTCTGAACAATGTCCTTTATTTATCAAGTGTTTAACGAAATCCCTTGTGTATATGGATTCTATTTCATCAATTGTTTAAATATATACTGGTAGCACAAAGAATACTCTTAAAATACATTTGTATAATCATCTTTCATCCTTTACTAACGCTGGCAAATGAAATATGAATTCACTTTCTAAATATTTTTGGGAATTGAATGAGGGAAACAAAACACCTAAAGTTAATTGGAAAATTTTCAAACAAGCTAGAACCTGTAGAACCTTGACGGAATCGTGTTTCCTTTGTCTATCGGAGAAAATGCAGATAATTAAACTCTTATTAAATTAGAGATTTGAAACTACCGTAAATTGCAGACACATTAATGAATTAATTAACCTTACAATCTTGCTAAACTTCATAACTCAATAATCACTCCTCTTATGTTATATAAACTCAACAATCACTCCTCTTTATGTTATATAAACATTATAAAATTATTCTTAATGATTTATTCTAGATTAAGATATTAAATAGGTTAGTATTCGTAATTTACTGGTAGTAAGGTTTGCCGTGGATTGGCTTGTAATTATTTTACTGGTGATGTTGTTTTATGATAGTTTTTAATTTAAAATAAATATATAAAAGTCATAAATATTTTAAAGTTTATTTTGTATCCTAATTTATAATGTAAGTTTCGTATAGTTAAGTAGTTGTTTTGTTTGCATCTGTTTTTCTTCTTAAAGTGACTTTTATTTACGTACTATGTTTAATTTTGTTTAAATATGTGATTTCATTCAAAATTCCATAAAATTTGAAATGCTACAGTGTTTCTAAAATGTTCTATCTTGTCGCGGTATATTTCTATTTAATTTTGAATTCTTCATCTTAACGTATCTTCATTGGCTAAACTTATATCAACATCTTCTCATATCTTATTTTCTTCTCTTTCCTTTTCCTTTATAACTATAAAATTTGGATATATTCCTCAACTTCTTTTACCTTTTTCTTTTCTTTTCCTTCTCTCTGTAGTAGGGTTGATTTCTTATGCTTTCTTATGTCTTTCTTTTCTTTCCTCTTTCTATTGATTTCTTACTCCCTTCTTTTTTTTACTTTAATCTGCTTCTTTCTTTCTTTACATTTTATGGAAATATTTGTTTCTTTGGAAAATTTTCAAAAATGTAAAAAGAAATGATAAGTTGTATTTTTAAAGAAGTCATAAGTTTTATATAAAATCATTTATTACCACCAATGTTAACCACCTGATGAGATGTGTAAATTAGTCATCGAAACAAATATGATATTTTTGTAGTGGTAATTTGTATGTTCCAATGTAACAGTTTATAATAAATATCTATTGTTCTACTCTTGTATTGAGCTCTTTTTTAAATTAATGTTATGAAAGTTTGAATTTATATTCTTTTAATGTTTTGAACGTTTGAATTTATATTCTTTTCGTTCTTTTACATTTGTGCATATATATATATATGCGTGTATGTGTGTGCATTGTGATAGTAAATATCCTTCAATTTTCAGTATGACGGAATCTACGGAGACATTCAAACCGGGCTTGTTTGATACTGGTTTGAATATTGAAAAGAAGCTGAGCAACCACTATTTGTTCATTGAAAACAAACAGCTGACATTTTATCTCGAGATAGAACCAAATTACATCAGGCCAGCAATTCGTAATTTACAAGCAGTGTTCTTCTTCCACATGGACACAGGAAGATCAACTGCTCGTTCTATATTGGAGGATTTAATTCAAGAAGATCCAAAGGATTTGAATGCCCTTGCTGACCTAGTTTATGTCTATAAAAAAATGGGCCGCAAGAAAGATTCTGATTATTATAAACAACAACTTGAATCATGCAAAGATGACAAATTGTCCCAGGCCAAAAGTATTTTAGGCCAGGCATATGCTCTAACATATGATTTACCAGACGACCATAACAAATCACCTGAAGTTCTTCTGAAAGACTCTTGGAGACAGCTTAATGCAAAGAGCAAACACCCAGAACAGATAAGCAAAGCCAATGAATTGATTGTGGAAGCTTATAAAGTGGTCAAAACAATTCCTGAGACATCTCATGAGAAAAAAATTGATGCAAAACTAATGGCTGTTGAAAAATTTGAGAAAGGAATTGAAATGCTTGAAATGCTGAAATGTTCTGCAAAAGAAATTTTGGTCTGGAAACACAATCTTGCCATTGCCAGAAGTAGGTTGGATACGTGGCGAAATAGAAGAGGGGATGACACAAAGAATCGTTTTGAAAATTACAAAAAAGCACTTGAAGCCCATTTGGATGTGATTGAAAATCTTTCCCCAATTGAAAATTTAGAGGAACCCCTGAAAATATATGTTGCCAAGTCATATATCTATTTTGTTCAAGTGTATACATCTCGGAAAGATTGCATGGAACAAGACAAATTACCAGACAGAATTAAGGGACAAGATTTCGACTCCATGCGGGTAAAAGCAATAAGCATTTGTCCAAATAACTATATAATATTGCAAATATATGGACGATACTGGAGTAATAAAGGTGACTTTTTGAAAGCAATAGATATTTATAGTAAATCTATCAGTCTAATTCCAGACCCAGAAATTAACTGGTTTGCCTATTCGAGCCGAAGAGATGCATATTATTATTATAGTTTAGAGCTGATCAAAGAAGAATCTGATCAAACCATAATCACTAAGAATTTGCAGCATGCTTACGACGATGGAAAAGTCTGTATGCAATCCAAATGTACGGATATCTGTATGTATAAGATGGCACAAATCTGCTATAAATTATCAATTCCTGACAAGAATCAATTTGAATGCCAGAAAATAGATTTCATATATGAAGCCTTAGAAAATATTCAAGAAGCGCTAAACAAACGGGACATAAGCAAAGATCCTAAGTTTTACAGTCTGCTCGGAAGATGTTACTCGTATATTGGAGAATACAGGAAAGGTATTGAGTCTTTGAAAACTGCACTGGAATTGAACAAATGGTCTGAGAATTTTCCTGATGTATTTAAAACACTTTCCAGGTGTTTCATTGCTTTTTTCGAGAGAGAAAAAGATACGAACTTACTGACAGAATTCCGATTTATGTTAAAAGAAGCAAGCAGAAGATGTCTCGATGAGTGGATAACAACTGCCATGCAGATGATGCAAGAAAAAAACACTGAAATGATGATTTCTTTAGTGCAAAATATGATACAATGGGATGCGAAGGGTTGTCAGCAGCTTATCAAAAAAGCGTTAGAATATCTGGAAGCTAAGGTGCTAATGGAACAATTTCAAATTAAACTACAAGAAGAGGACAACCAAGAAACTGAGATAAATGGACCGAATGAGATTCAAAATTCAGAGAGAACATCAAACAGTTTTCAATATGATTTCTTTGTATCACATTCAGAAAAAGACAAAGAATGGGTAAATAATATGCTACGACCAAACCTTGAGGATTATGATGAGGAAATCAAATTTAAAGGTAAGTCTCATTATTTCTCTACAGCAAACAAAATAACAATGAAAATGTATAGATAATTAGCATTGAAACATCAACATTATTTCAAAACACTTAGATTATAAAAGCCATAATTGTTTTCATTATAATGTTTTTACATAGAAATCATTCATGTCCCCATTCTGGTCTTCTGTGATGATATATTGTAACTTATGTCTCCATTTATTCAAACCAGAATACTTATAAATGTTTTTATTAAACCATTTCAACTTAGGTGTTCTTCAGCTATCCTTCTTGATAATTAGAGGTGTGATATTGTAAATTATGCCTCCATTTATTCAGACCAGGATACTTATGTTCTTCAGATATTCTTGTGTACTTCAGATATCCTTATTTTTATTTAGAGGTGGGATATTGTAAATTCTGCCTCCATTTATTCAGACCAGGATACTTATATATGTTTTTATTAAACCATTTCTACTTAGTTGTTCTTCAGATATCCTTATTTATATTCTATGATAGGATATTGCCATTATTCTACCAATTATCCAAAGCACTTAGTTTATATGCTTTTTTACTGTTGGAATATTCCTAAATTTTTCTCTCGTGTATTATCAGATGATTTCTTCTCTGTTACTTTAGGGTGATCCCTTTACCATATCAACCCTTTTGGAATATTTATTTCTGAATGTTGTATCAGACTCAATTAAAATAAATCACTACTAATTAACAATGAAACAACTTGACCAAAGTTGCATCATTTTACCTCCTCTACACTGGGGCTCCCATTAAATGTTTACTGTGTACTAGTAGATATTAAAAACAAATTTGTTCTTTGCTTTTGCCATTTATTTCAATTATGTCTTTAATTTCATCATTTGATATTATGATCTGTAAATTTATCATGTCTTGGTCTCCCTTCTCTATGGGTTAAATAGAATTTCTTGTATCTAGAAAAATCATTATTATTCTCAAAAAAATGTTTAATATCATATTCATTCACATAATATATTATACTTATAATCCTCAGTGGGTTTTTGCTTTAAATAGCTCACAAATTGTTGATAAGCCATAAAAAATAAATCAGTCAATCGTTATATGTTATAATGAAGGTTTGTTATTAAGCTGACATCCTGGATTGTAATTTTAGAAACAACACTAACAATATGGATCAGATATAAATCTTGCTTTTCTTTTTTTTCAGGTTTCATACCAAGCCGTGATTTCATACCCGGCGAAAATCTCATTGACAGTATTATCAAAGGAATAAACAATTCTCGTCAGCTTCTCATTGTCCTAACACCAAAATATCTTGACAACAATTGGCAGAAATACATCAGTGATTTATGTGTTTTCTCAGCCATTGAAACAAAAGCGAAGGAAAAAACAATCATTCTAATAATCCTCGAGAGTTGTAGCATCCCAGACAGTCTTAAAGTTTTTACACCGATCTATTTCACAAAGGGAAGTGACTGGAACCGTCTTCGGATGAGCCTTACCGTTAATATGAATTCAGAGACTGGTCTTGTAGAAGGGATATCTGTGATGAAAACCAGTAAGAACTATGAACATTAAGGAGTATTAAGAATTTGAATCAGAAACGGTAAATCTGGCAATACATGACATCAGAGAATGTGATCACTTGTCCTAAAACGAAATCTCTTTTTTCTTTAATTCCATTTTATAAACTGACCATCAAAGTTATAAAATAAAAACTACTTTTCCTGAATATAATTAATATATATATTTGAAATGGACAAAATCCGACAATTATTTTAAGACATTTTTATGTTTATACATTCTTTTCATAGATACAAGTATTTAAGTAAATGCTCTGTTTTATAATAAACAGTATTAACAACATTTACCGGCCTGAATGCCCGAGAAACTGTCATAGAAAATATGCGTCCTCCGACAAGAATCGAACCTGTATCCTATACGGAAGCGTCATATAGACTGACGTGCTTTTACCGATTTCGCCAAAGAGGAGCGTTTCTGTTAGGAAGGTCGATTTTACTGTTTTTAAATTACAATTTTTCATGATTTTGTCACGTACATTCATATCTGCTTAAAGCGTATGCAAATGTAAACAAATGACGTAACACATTATGAAATGGACAAAGTTCGACAATTATTTTAAGACATTTTTATGTTTATACTTTCTTTTTTTATAGATAATTGTCAGATTTGTCCATTTCATAATGTGCTACGTCATTTGTTTACATTTGGATACGCATTGGGCAGATATGAATGTACGTGAGGGAATAATGGAAGCTTGTAGTTTAAAGACAGTAAAATCGGCCTTGATAACCGACCGCTCCTCTGTGGCCCAATCGGTTAAAACACGTCAGGCTATATGACGGTTCCGTATAGGATACAGGTTCGATTCCTGTCGGAGGAAGCATATTTCCTGTGACAATTTCTCGGACATTCAAGCCGGTAAATGTTGTTTAATACTGTTTATTATAAATAGAGCATTTACTAAAATATTTGTATTTATAAAAAAAAATGTATAAACATAAAAATGTCTTAGAATATATGTTTGTGTGCGAGTTCTTAGGGTCAGTTGTTTCTGCACTAAAGACAGATTTTTTTTTTTTTTAAAGTGGTTAAAAAATCATGTATTTTCGAGAACCGTTGCACTATACACAGATAAAGTTTTTCTGGAGGGGGGGGGTTATGAAAAATATTCAGGGTTGTATTATACACTGAAATCAGCTTATACACGAGAATATACGGTAACGCAAATTAAACATTAATATTCGGATAAATTTAGTCCGAAGGCATTGCATTCAAGAAAATGTTTTGAAAATTATTGAAATAAAAGTCAAATAATCAGATGATTTCGGTGAAATTTATGGTGGAGGCATTGTGAAGTAATGGATAGCAGATTGGGTGGAGGAATTCCAGTTGAATCCATTCGATTCACTTACGTGCTAATACCCCCCCCCCTTGGGAAAGGTATGAATCCTCTTCTTCTCCCACCTCAGTTATGGATAAATAGCAGGACAGACTGGGTTCTATAGCCTTGGATGGAAACTAGTCTAGGAGAAGGACAATTCTGTATTCAAAACCTGATCCTCCAGGTTGGGGGTGTCGTGCAGTAGATACTTACAAACTGGCTTGTTATAGAAACTGCAACGATATCTTGCAGCCCTATGTTTCTCAAAGAATTTAAAGGCATGACATATATATATATATATATATATAAGATAACAATTTTACTTAAGGGAAAATTATTGGCCTTATTTAAAGTGACGACTTTCTGGAAATGTCTCTTGTAATTTTTCACCAATTTGTTACACCCATCTTTATTTGTTTCCTTCTATTCTTCAAGAATCTGCAATGTTATTGGTCCCGACTTGGTATCCCGGATCCTGTTCTTTTCTTAACGTAGCTTCTTTGTGTTTCTTCTATAAATACTTCCATGATAATTGTTCCGACGAACTTCCTGCTATGATGATGTAGGGACATTATTAGTTAGTTATAAATTTGTTAGTAATAAATAAAATTAAAAAAATATAAAACAAATAACATTAAAGCTTTGTTTAAAATAAATGAAATAAAACCAAAATAAGTTCTCCCAGAATACAAGGGATACTTTTCCTGCCTGCAAACTGCGAACTTTGCGTCAAAAACGCTGAACTCCGTCTTTTTTAACACCGACTATTGGAGGGTCAAAACGTTCATCTCTTCTCCTCAGCACATTGCTTGTTATTTATCACATGCAACCTTAAAACACGTGTAACTAAAATACACACACATCAATACACAAAATAAATAAAATTGTATGAATTTAATTTACCATTTAACATGTTTTAGTGTTATTTCTATGTGTATTTTTTCATCTAGTTTAATACAAGATTGGCGTCAAGGCCTCATTATTTGACTATTGAATCTGTTAGATGTAAGTTCTATGCTAACAGTTTCTTTTATCGCACTTCTCACTTGTGGAAGTATTTTCCAGCTTCTTTCTTCCCAATCATCTTTTGTCTTCAAAAATTTAAATACAATGTCAATTGTTATCTTCTGTCTTCTTAATTCCAGTTCTTTTATTGTTATTCTCCTTAATAATGTTGAAATGGCTAGGCATAACCATAATACTATAACAATAGTTTCTTCTCACTTGTGGAACTCTTTTCCAACTTCTTGCTTTCTAGTCAACTTTGATCTTCAAAAATTTAAATTTAATTCCAATTATTATGTTCTGTCTTCTTAATTCCTGTTCTTTTATTGTCCTCACTCCTTAATACTATATTTTTCTCGTATTCTCTAACACTCAGTAACTCCTTGCGCTGTTGTGGGTTTATTGCCTTGCTTGGGGTGAAATGATGAAAAAAATGTCCATAAACCATGTAATATAATGTATATTTAATATTTTTTTATCGTCCGTTTTCAAGATAAAAAAAAGAGAATGAACAAATCTAGTTTGCGTTTTATTAAAATTCTAAAATAACTTTTTAATATAATCAACATCGGTAAAGGTGTATACAGTAATAGCCTTGTCAGGGGAAAACCGTTCTTTTGTGCAACCATTTTTTACAGGTGACTTTGTTAAACTTTGCCATTTTTTATTAGCATTTTTTTTTATTGGTGTTTTTATCGCAATACTGGCGGACGATGCAATTTTTTGATTGAAGACGGTTGCGATAAAAAGAACGCGAAAAGAGCGACGAAAACTGTTATTCCTTTTCCAAGAAAAGAATAAAAGAGAACTTTTTAAAAGGAAAGAAGAATGATTGAAAAAGTACCTTTTGTTATGTTAAAAGTAACCATAACGATTTATGTTTAATCTTTCATATTTCGATACTTGCAAAAATGGGAACTTTTCTTTTTTAAACTTGTCCTTGACGATGAAAAGAGTTGTTTCCCTTGTGAACTCAGCATGAAACTGAATCAGAAATGTAATCAAAACGGAGGGCACAAAAATGTCTCTTCTTGCATTCGAGGCTACATTTTTTCACTGGGTAAGACTTGTGATAATTCCTGTAAAAAAAAGAAAATAAATTAGATATATACTCTGAATTCAAAACCTGCGGAGGGTCGTTTGGAGACCTTGTGGCACGTAGTGCACCAGAACTCTGTATTCCGCCTTTCAAAAAGTGTGGATGGTTCTGTACAAAAACCTTCACCACTATAATCAAATTTCATGTGCTAGTGTCGGGCTGTCGGTTTCACTCAGAGGCGACAGGCTGTTTCATTCTAGACGCAATCGTCAGGCCGCGTGTCTGACGTCTGCGTCTCGCATGAAAGAGCCTGTCGCTTATGAGTGTTGACTTCAATGTTCACTTTTAGATTTATATTTACATACGCTCTATCTCTGATATTGAGCACTTTATCACCATCAAACTATATTTCTTCATATATAGATAAACACACACACACACATATACATACATACATATATATATATATATATATATATATATATATATACATGAATTATTCACACAAAACTAATGCAAAGGTTAATGATTTAAATGGCGAGACATCCATCATCGCAAACAATTCAAATAGTATACAAAAACCTCCAGATCCGTTATGAATGAATTGATCCTTGTTTATATAAATTTCTGCCGTATTAGTTGTTATTTTTACTACAAGCTTTCGTCTGTTCCTACAGACATCTTCAGGTATAGAATAGATGTTATTTTTTTTTGTTTTTTTTTCTCTTAGTAATAAGAGGACAACGAAAATATATGTGTTGTTGTATCCGAAAATGCTATTGAAAAAGAGTTATTGGTTTTGGAACGCGCCAAAGCAACGCTGAGTTTGATTTTAAATTTTTTACTTTTCATGTACCAACTGCGGCAAGGCAGCAGAAATTCTAGCGGCCTAACAAAGCATTCTAAATTAAAACTTTCAGATTATTCAGTGGCCAGCAATCAACTAATATAGACATAATGTGGTTTCAACACCGGCGAGAATATGAAAATCAAAAATGATTCGGAACGATTTTTAGAATGGTCATGCTTCCACCATACATACATACATATATATATATAGGAAGAAATAGTTTTAAGTGTGCTATATTTAAGGGATAAAGTGCTCAATATCAGAGATAGAGCGTATGTAAATATAATATATGTATATAAATAATATAATTTTTCCGATGCCACTAATATTAACTTGGTAGGTAGCATTATGTGCCTAGTCTTATCAAGGTTATTTCTGTTTTGTTTCTAATAATTTTGTGAGCTTTCTTTTTCGCATTATATATAAAATAATTCGTAAATTGGGAATGTTTGATTGTATTTTCAAGGTATTTTTCTTCATCGCTTAAATACTGAGGGCCACAACTTCTAAGTGATCTTAAGTTTTATTTTATTGTTTTGTTGGTTAGAGAAGTTGATTGTCGTAAAGCGTCTCTGGAAATAGAGCAAATTACGTCGTCGCACCTCTACGCTGGGAATGTGAATGTTCTTGTGGAAAGCGAGCGAATGACTAGCACTATATAGCAAGACTAACTCGCGATTTCTTCTCTGAGAGTGACCACAGACTGGACCAGTTAGACTGGGAAGCGGTAAAACCTCTTAGGAGAATGAAAAATCTAATTTAAAACTCAGGTAGATGGAACTCGTTAGCGTGAGGACACAGGGTCATCTAAGGGAAAAAGCCCTACTAGAAATCCAACTCCTCCTCATGGCCAAGAAGTTGAGAGAAGAACCCATTACCCCGCCCCGTGGAACAAACGTGTTACTGAAACTTCAAAAGATGTCTAGTAGGAACGAGGCAGATCGCTAGCTAGCTAGAAGTTAATGAGAGCATTCTTGTTAGCGGACTTTCAATAGATGGTTTGTTTCACATCATTATCAGTACAGTTTGATCGCAAGAAACGAGAATATGTTTGCTTCTGTCAGTTGTATGTTCAATATTTGTTTAGTTGCAAAATCAGGTAATATTGTTTGACGGGAATATATGAATAAAACATCATCTGTATATAGGAAATGTGTTTTTTCTTTAGGAAAAGGGTTTTAAAAGTGACTAGTTTCTTGAAATTCCCAAAAACATACTAAGAGGGTGCAAATGAAAAGATTTAAAAGTGACTCTTTTTTCCGTTACACTGAGGCAGACGTTAAACACATGATAATGTTATCGTCCCTTCTACCGTTCCTTCGTTTCTTTCTTTGTTTCTTTCTTCGTTTTTTCTTTCTTTGTTTTTTTCTTCGTTTCCTTCTTCGTTTTTTTCTTTTTTCGTTTCTTTCGTTTTTTCTTTCTTCGTTTCCTTCTTTTTTCTTTCTTCGTTTTTTCTTTTTTCGTTTTTTCTTTCTTCGTTTCTTTTTTCGTTTTTTCTTCCATTCAATGAAACGAAACAGGGTCTGCAATATATCATGTCCGTTTTTCCACGAGATCAAAACGGACTAGTCCATTATTTACGAGGTATTAGTAGGGTCTAACGTAGGTGCTAAATAACTAAGGATCAAACAGAATTATATGATATACATATATATAACTTTTTAATTTATTTATATGATTTTAAATATATACGTATATATTTACACATACACACACGCACGCACATACACACACACATATATCACTTTCATTATTTACATAATTCGGACTGTTATACTCATCTTCATTGCCATATTCATAACGTTTCGGACGTTGTACTCTCCGGCCTTCTTCAAGTGATGTGAATTTCGAACCGAACCCTTTATTTCGTCCACCCGAGGTAGATTGTTCTAGATCCACGTGCCATACCTCTTCCCAATGTCTCAGTTATTTTCTCAACTCTTCAAGTTTTTGGTTCACCACTGCTTCAGCCTGATATTGAGTCACTGGATCTAACCAACGCCTTTATCCACTGGGTCATGTGTCCCCGAGGAATATGGCAATGACAGTCCGAATAATGTAAATAATGTAAGTAATCATAATCCCTCATCTCAGAGATATACACACACACACACACATATATATATATATATATATATATATATATGGAAAATGAAACTCACGACAAGAATCGAACATGTATTCCACTGTCGAGAGACATATTCTTTTTTAAGCCTTTCAGTCTCTAGGTCGGCAGACATTAATTTCATAGTGATGTTTACTCAAATATATCTGGTCACTAAATATAGTTTTATATAAATCCTTTTCAATTCCAGCCTTTTTAAGGTGATAGGTGTGTCTAGTTTTATGAAGGTGATTTTAAATTTAACAAACCATTCTATATCCCAGTTAACAGCAGATTGTAGGTCATTTGACCTTATCAAACTGATCAGAATTACTATCGAGTGAAATAAAAGAATGTGTGTAACAGATTTTATTTTTAGTTTTGGCTTACCTGTAAAACGTTTGAAACAGATTTTCATCTGATTGCATCTTTTTTATAACTTTGTCCCAATCACCTGGAAGCAGTGACGTCATTTTATAGGCTTTCTGTTAAAAAAAAAAAAAAAAATTCAAAGCATTAACGGCAAAAGAAATGAAGGTGAGTACAAAAAGTTAAACTGAGAAGCAAAGAGGACAGACGCAGTTAAAATGAAGGCAAAAAGAGGAGAGTAAATTCAACCGACGAAAGAGAACGGGAAGAAAAGAAAAAAAGTGGGAACTAACCACTTAACCATTCTCACTCATCAGAACTCGAGCGAAGATACATTTCTTTTTTATAAATCTGTCGATAAATCCGGGTCTGCAACAGCACAACACCTCATACGAAACCAAGAGTTTGGATCATTTTACCGAGGGGACATTTTCTCAATTTTGTGCTCGTCACATTCAAATTATCAACTCAATGACCAAGAAACTAGTTTTATTAAGTCAAGGCAACCTTTTTTATGCAAACAGAAGCAATCGTCAGTGAGACTCAACGTGATTTGCCTTTAAAATAGCTACCTCCAGAGAATCGTTAAAAAAATGAGCGTACCATGATGAAAAAATACCCCAAACTTAATTGTTTCATCGTCAAAATATTTATGTAATCATTAAGACGGAAGACCAAAGGATTTTTTAATTATATATTTTTTTATCCTTTTTAGAACGTTCGAAATTTAAGCTAAAATCTTGGTTTTCTTGCGTTAAAAGTTGGTTGGGGGGGGGATCAAAGATTAGCATAGGAAATTTTAGGGTCTTTTTGCGGTGCGAAACATTGATTTGAAATTCTTGAAAAATTCAATTAGTTGTCGGATATTAATGAAAGTTTTACGACATTCACAAATGAATTAAATTATTTTAGAAATGTTTCTTTTTTAGAAAATCTTGGTAAAATTTTTTTTACATTTGTTACCCACCCCCAACCAATTTATTTAATTTTATTAAATTTCGAGAAATTTATCGGCAGGGTTAGGGTTAGGGTTACCACTTAATGTTTATATTAATTATACCCAAAACTCCTGGGAGAATTTAAATAGTTTTTTTTTTTTGTAGAACAGGACCCAGTTAACGAAAATCTGAATAGTAAAATAAAAAACGCAATAAAACTAATATTATTATTTAATTAGCAAAGCTATTTACTTGTGTTATGAATAAAATATATAATGGACACTAAGAAAAAACATTTCCGAATAATAATAATTTTTTACTAGAATTGTTTTCACTTTTTAAAAGCAATTATGATAATGTATAAAGTTTTAAATCTTTTAAAAATCTGTATTCATTTCTGCTGTTAAGTGATGTTTTATTAAGTAAAAGCTATATTTATTAATTATATTTGGGAAAGTTTAGTACAATTCAGCGACCCCCAATATTTTAAAAAGAATTTTGAATTTTTTGTGCGTATAAACGATATTTTAAAAATACGGCCGTCTATACACGACATTATCAGAAAATAAGAATTATAACTATAGTCAATTTAGAGCTAAAGTACCTAAAATTCAATAAAACAATAGATTACTTAAAATATTTTCTTAATTTTTTTTACTAAGATTGCTGAGTAGTTAAAAATTACATAAAAAGCGCGCTCACGTTATATTCCTTGAGTAATTTTTACAGATATGTCGCCCGGAGAAAAAAAATATATAGAAAAAATAGATTTAACGTGTCAACACCTTAAATGCGTAAGCACCTACCTCCATATTTATTTTTGTGATATTTTAAACTAAAAGTAAGTAATATTTATTTCTGATCAGATTAAATTTTAAATCAGCAAATATTTTCTTCAAATAAAGTTTTGGAAAAATACATTCTATTTTTGAAAGATTTTTTAACAAGCAAAATTACATTATGTTAACAGATGGCTAAAATGGTGTCAAAATCAGTGTCTTTTAGCGATTAAAAAACTCCTTTAATTTAAATTAGTTTGGAAACACAGTAGAGTATTTTGCTTATTGGATATATTAATTATAATCTATTAACTTGAAATTTAAACTAAAATGAAAGCTTCAATAAATCCTTTTTTTTTTTAGGTATAATAGCGTTTCTGTGGAGGTACCTACTTTAAAATATGCCCGTTTTAGTATATTATTAAAATGGTGAATTTTCAATTTCACATTTTCTTTCAATTGATTGTGAACAAATAATTTTATTTTCTTCAATTGAATTCTGACGAGTGAGTTATCTCTTTTATTCTTTCATTCTTCCTTTCTTTCTATCCTTTCTTTCTTATTAAACTACTGTTATTTTCGGCGTTTTTTACTTTCATTTAATTATGACCGTTCTGTTTGCTATAATTAAAATATTTTCCTGAAACTGTTTTTACTATTTAATGATATATTTCGAATTACAATTGTTATTTTATGTTATTTTAACATTAATCTGAAAAAAAAAGTCATTGAAGAAAATATCTTCAGATTTCCATATCCTCCTGACGTCAGTTCAAATTGGCGTTTTTTTTGGGTTTTTTTTTTCCATATATTCTGACTATTTTGCTGAAAGTTCGTATTTTCTTGATTTCAGATAAAAAACATGAAATATATTCAACATATTTCAGTGAAGTCTTCATTTTCTATAATTGTAGTTCATGATTATCCTTTACAAGGCGTTAGTTTTACGGCCATCTTTTTTCATAGACTGTGTCCATTAATGAAAGTTTGTATTTTCTGCTTGCAGATGAAAACAAGGAAAAAATTCAGCATATTTCAGTGAAATTTTCATTTTCGAAATTAGTAATTACAATTAAAATTTAGATATATATAACACAATGACGTCAATTTAAACTGATACCATGAGGATATGGTGTGTGATTTTATACGATTTGTGTTCACTTCATCAAAACTCATTAGATGTCTTTTATTCAGAATTTTAAAAAGATAAATTGCTCAATTCAGCATTTTAGAATATACAAATTTGTCCCTTGTAGTATTATTATTTTATCTCGATTTTATGTATTTGTATGGTAATGTTAATATTAGTCGTTATAACGAAACAATCAGCATTCATTTACCGAGCAGCAAGTAATACTTTCGTTTGAAATTTATAAAATCTTTCTATGAAAACAATTTTTCAAGAAAATAGATTTCTCAAGTCCAGTAACTGTTATCGCTCCTTCCATGATTAATAGCAGTTTCCTTCTTAACCTTTTGTTTGACAGTGTGTAGAACGTCAAATTGTTAGGTCATTATTTTCTCTTACAGGTCACATGTGCTATCCATTTTTATAGCTGCTGCTGTTGAAAGTCCTCAAGTGATTTCTGTTGCTTGGAACAACTATTTGTTTATGATTGTGTAGCGTCGGTCCACGAGGTTCGAAGAAGTCTGATTCTCGATAAAATCTATGGGCTTTATTCGCTTGAAGCCATTTTAATCATTGATCTGAGAAAGTGGTAGTATACATTTGAAATTTTAGACATTTATGAACGAGTTACGCGCCATGCGTGACATCTGTAGGAATGTTTCGATCTGACGAGGTTATTTAAGTATATAACTCGAATTTTTAGGCTAATGTTTTAGCTTTGTAGCAACTTTCGGTGTTATGGAAAACTATTCCATGTCCAATTTCCATTTTTTAAACCAATTCAACACAAGCAGGGCGATGTCGCCAATTAAGATGAAAATGGAGGTGGGGTGGCTACTGGAAGTGAAAGTGAAGGAAAAGACGAGAAGGAAATGTAAACTTAATAACAGTATGAATTTCAGAGTTTAGGCGGAGATTTTAGAAGTATAGATTTGAAGTAGACTTTAGAAGGAACCGCTAACCCAATCCTAAACAGGAAACATAGGATAAACCTCTACTGTTCAAAAGACCGCGGATGAGTGGACCGTGGACGTCTCTTCAGATTCAATACAGGACTCATTTCACACATAAGGAAATGTCGATGAGCACCTCCAATACTCGACAACGGATCCCACCAACAACGACGATATATACATGCATACATAACAAATCGTGTAACAGCATAATTAT